ATATATATATATATATATATATGCTTATGCTGCTACATATATATACATTATACATATAGATATACGGATGTTTAAATAAGGATATCTGTATCTACAAGTGCACGCACAAACTTATTATTCATTAGCCGCTTCCTGCTGCTGCTGTTGCTGTTGCTGCTGCTGCTTAGGCAGTTCCAGGGTACACAGAAGCTTGCTGCAGCAGCGCTGCTCTACATGGGGAGCAAATTAACTACGAATGAAGAGACAGACGAACTAAACAAAATTTTTCAGAAGATGGATAAGAACGGAGACGGGCAGCTCGATAAACAAGGTGCGTACAACTATTAATAATAGCCAGCTAGCTAGCTAGCTAGCTAGCTAGCTAGCTAGCTAGCTGGCTAGTTAGGTATAGCTAGTTGCTCTTCGTTGCCTTTAGTTAGCTCGCTAGCTGGCTAGCTAGCTAGCTACTTAACTAACTAGCTAGGTGGATAGCTAGCTAGCTACTTAACTAGCTAGCTAGGTGGATAGCTAGCTAGCTTGATGGCTTGATGAATAGCTATCTAGCTAGCTAGCTAGCTAGCTAGAAGAAAGGTGGTGTATTGTATACTGTATGATTTGCAGTGTATGATTTCTTTTTGAAGTGTATTGTGCTGCTTGCGGTGTATGCAGAGCTAATGGAGGGGTATGTAGAGCTGCTGAAGTTAAAGGGTGAAGATGTCTCTGCATTAGATAAGAGCGCTATTGAATATGAAGTAGAACAAGTTCTAGAGGCTGTAGACTTCGATAAAAACGGATTCATTGAATATTCAGGTACTTCACCAACCCTAAACCCTAAACCCTAAATACGCGTAAACCCTAAACCCTAATTCAATAAACCCTAAACCCTAGTTCAACAAACACTAAACCCTAGTTCAATGAGCATTAACCCTAATTCAATAAACACTAAACCCTAATTCAGTAAACCCTAAACCCTAAATACATAATAAACCCTAAACCCTAAATACACAAACCCTAATCTATCTCGTCAGACACAGTTATTTGATGTTGTTTCTCTTCATTTTTTCAACTATCTTATTGCTATATATTTATTTAGTTAATTTAATAAATAAATAAATTAATTAATTAATTTAGTATATTATTTTATTATTTGTTTGTAGAGTTTGCTGCTCTCTTCTATGAATATGACTGAATATTTAAATAATATTAATATAATTAATATAATTAATGTAATGCATTTAATATATTTAATATATTTTATTATTTGTTTTCAGAGTTTGTTACTGTTGCAATGGATAGAAAAACACTCTTATCTCGTCAGCGCTTAGAGAGGGCCTTCGGAATGTTTGACTCGGACGGCTCCGGCAAAATCTCATCATCAGAGCTTGCAACAGTAAACTCTTTGTTATTTTATTATTTTTAAATATATATATTATATAATATAATATATTATATATTATATATAATATTTATTTATTTATTACTGTTAGAAGTAATGCTTTGTTGTTGTGTTGTTGTTTTTATTTACTTCGTATTTATTTATTTATTTATTTATTTATTTATTTATTTATTTATTTATTTATTTATTTATTTGGTTGTTTGTTTGACTGCCTCTCAATTTAAATTTGTTATATATATATATATATATATGTAATGTATATATCTGTGTATCTATATAAAGAAAGTATATCTATATAAAGTATATCTATATAAAGTATATATATAATTTATATATATATATATATTTGTGATGTGTGCGTACACTACACGACAACAATTGCATGCAGATATTTGGTGTAAGCGAGCTGGACTCGGAGGCCTGGAGAAGAGTGTTGGCTGAAGTTGATAGAAATAATGACGGAGAGGTAGACTTTGAAGAGTTTCAGCAAATGTTGCTGCGCCTATGTGGAGATGCAGCAGCAAACACAACTCAAGAGTAGCTCTCTGCTGCAGCAGATGTTCCTGCTGCTGCTGACGCGGCTGCTTCTCCTACGGCGGCTGCTGTCGCTGCATTATATATATATATTAAACCCGTAGATGCACATACATATACATGCATATATATATATATATATGCAGATGTACACATATATACACCACCTTCATCAGCTAGCTAGCCAAAGAATCGCTAGCTAGCTAGCCATTAACACCGATGATCGAGCGACCGTACGGACTAGCTAGCTAGCTAGCTAGCTAGCCAAAGACGCAGTAGCTAGCTGGCTAGCTAGACTACTCACCGCTTCGCTAGCTAGCTAGCTAGCTAGCTGCTACCCGATTCACCACCTCGCTAGCCAGCTGATGGTGGCTAGCTAGCTAGCTAGCTAGGCGGTGGCTAGCTGAGGGGGGTGTGGGGTGAAGAAGACGACAGAGAGATCTTCTCCGATGGATGCACAGCAGCAGCAGCAGCAGCAGCAGCAGCGAGAGGAGCAGCAGCAAATGCAATAACAAAATTTGATAAGAACAACTTGTTTGAGGGTGAAGCAAAACAGAGAGAGAGGAGACAGAAGAATAACCATTTAACTTT